AACAGCATGTACAGTGAACCAGAAGTAGAGTTAGCATGGTGAAGTAGGGGGATGGGGGAAGACTTACAGTATGGTTGGTGCCTAGTGTAGACAGAGTAGGCTGGGAGAGTGATTAGAGACGAGACTGGAGTGGAAGTTAGAGTCAGACCAGGGAGAGCTTTTGTGCTCTATTCTAAAAACCATGGCAAGCTGTTGAAATTTTCAAGCAAATTTGGCTGTGCATTCTCCAATTTCTGGTGAATGGAGCAGGTAGAGGCACCTGGCATAATCAAGGCAGAGCCTGTTCCCCTCAAGGTACAATCCTGACCTTAGGAATAAGGCTGCAGCCCACTTAAGAGAACTGAGCTCAATGATCAGAGTTTTATTGTTATTGTGTGCTGGCAAACTAGCTCTCTGGGGGGCGGGGAGGAGCTCTGGTTTATAGTGTTCGCCAGTTTCCACGGTAAATGCTACTAACCAGCTTGCAAAATTCCTGGAAATGTAACTATTGGCTCTTGCAAGCCATATGAGCCTGGTTCAGCACCACTAGCTGTGCCACCCTGTTTACTCAATGACAAAGCCCCTCAACATTGCATTAGAGATCCTTAACCAGTAGCTCTCAAACTTTACCATGCATCAATATCCCCTGGGGGTCTTGTTAAAGCACAGATTTCTGTGGCCTACCCTCAGAATTTCTAATTTGGTAGGTCTGGGGTGAGGCCTGAGAGTTTGCATTTCTAACAAGTTCCCAGGTGATGAAATGCTGCTGGTTTGGGGACCACACTTTGAGAACCACTGCCTTTAAATCACCCCTTCATATCTACCCTTAGATGAGATTAGTCCCAGGTTCTTATGGAGGAGTTGAACCTATGGAAAACTGCTCCCCTGTGTGGAGAAGAGGGAAATGATGCAGAGATCCATATCAGGAGTGAAAGAGAAGACATTAAAGGCAGCATCATGATGTAGAAGGCATCAGAATTTGGGCTCAGAAGATCTGGGATTGAATATTGCCTTTCCTGGATAAATGTAGGTGTGTTATTCAAGCTGAATTATAGGTGATTCTCCCACCTACACAATAGGGAGTCTGATATCATTTATCTCACAGAGTTGTTGTGATGATCATGTGAAGCAAATTGCCGACTATTGTATATGACTGCAAACTATCGTTCATAACCACAGACGCCTATACGGATGTTAGCTGTTGTTTTTAGAGATGACCAAGTGCAAAGCCGAAGCTCAGAGAGGTTAAATGATTACATAGCTAGAAGCGAGGCCTGCTGATTTCAGTTTAGTGCCCTTTCTCTTATGTTAGTGGTTTTCAAATACTTCTTTTAGCCAAGGGACCCTTTCTTCAAATGAAACCTTAGCAGAAAGAACGATATAGGAAATGATGCAAGAGAAGCTGCTCTTATTAAAGTGGGAGAGGGTAACAAGCTCTGGAGGCCTGAGGCAGTGCCCTGGAAACCTTGAGGTATCAGAGTCCGGTGTGAACCCTGGGCGCTTGCCTGATGTTTTCTGGAAGCACTTTCCGTATGAGGTGGCAGTGAGCAGGCACGCTGGGCAGGAACTCTGATGGCTTTAGGGTGAGGTCAGCACCTCTGGGTCCCTGAGGGACAAGGCAAAGCCCAGTGAGTCCAGCGGCCCGTGAACATCATCTGAGGGAGCTTTGAGAAAACCCAATACATAGGCTGTACCTCAGAACAATTACATCAGCATGTCTGGGGTATGAATCAGTCATCTGTACTTTTAAGTTCTCTGGGTGATTGTATGGTGCAGCTCAGGTTGATAACCAGATGGATACCAGGGGTTCTCAAAGTGTGGTCCCCAGAGCAGCAGCATCAGCATTGCTGGGACTCATTAGAAATTTAAACTCTCAGACCCCCACCCTGACTCTCTGCATCAGAAACTCTGGGGTAAGGCCCAGGAAGCTTGTTTTAACGAGTTTTGCTAGTGATGCTGATGCACAATAATTTGAGAACCATAGTTCGAAAGCAGAGATTCTAATGGTGGATAGACATCCCCATAAATGTTGAATATCATTCAGTCACTGAGGAGCTGTTCCAACTACACCCTCCTGAGATTCTGGTGGGCTCATCCTTAGAAGACTCCCTCTCCCCATTGAGGATTACTGTCCAGGGGAGCCGCTGGACTCACTGGGCTTTGCCTTGTCCCTCAGTTCTCTTGGAAAAGAAAACAGATAGAGGAGACTGTTTGTGAGCATCAAGAGGTCTTGCTTCTGTCTTTCCCCTTCAATTCAGAGGCTTTTCAATATGAGCCTGAGGCTTTAGTAGCTACAGGCCTGGTAGAGCCCCCCTTCAGGTGTTTCTGCAGCTAGAGGTCAGTTCTGTTATCCGACTTGACTTAGAGACCCCGGTGGCTGGTTCTTAGTGTTCTGGTATTATCTAGTGTAACACCTAGTTGTTGTCGTCGTTTAACTTTTCCAAGTGGGGAGATTGAAGTGATGTGTATATTCTACACGCATTGATTATTTTGTTGCCTTTTTCCCTCAGTTTAACTAGAATTGCCATGAGGAAATTAGAAAATGAGGGAGATTGTGCCTGTTAGCTAGGGAAGATAGGAATTGGTCTAGATTTGGGTGAGAAAAAGGAAATGGGGGAGGAAGTAGAAAGCTGAAAGCAGGGGTAAAAAGAGAAATAAAGAGTTCTGAGGATTCCCCTGACGTTGCCACTGAAACTGCAGCCAGGAAAAGATCACAGTGTGAGTGAGTGTACACGAACTAAAGTTGGGCAGGAGCCAGCGGTTCCTGGTCAGGCGTCCTTAACTCACCTGTGATGATAGGAGTCAGTCCCCATCTCTGGCTCCAGATTCAATCGGATCCTTGCACTAGGTGACCTAATGTTCTGTGGGTCCCTCTACAGTACTGACTACAGATTGTAATTATTCCCTCGGTGAGCATGATTGTTGTTATTATTATAGAAACTGTGAGCTCCATGTCATAGCCAGACTCCAACATGGCCCCGAGTGGTTCTTCCCTTCTTGCAGTCATATCTGTGTATATTCCCCTCCCACAGTGACTAGGGCTAACCTGTGTGACCAATGGACTATCGTGGAAATGACAGATTGTGACTTCGTTATAAAAGACATGAGGGCTTCCACCTTGCTCTTTTGTGGTCACTCACTCTGGAGGAAGCCAGCTTTCATGAGGATACTCAAGCAACTCCAGAGAGAAGTCCGTATCGCAAGACCTCCTGACAACATCCAGGATAAACTTGTCTGCCATGTGAATGAGTCATTCTGGAATCAGGTCTTCTAGCCCCAATCTAGCCTTTGGATGACTGCAGCCCTAGCTAATGTCTTGACTGGAAACTCATGAGAATCCCAAATCACAACTACCCAGCTAAACCACTCCTGAATTATTGGCATCCAAAAAAGAGTGTAAGATAACAAAAATTTGTTGCTGTTTTAAGCTTCTGGGTTTGGGGATAATTTGTTACACAGCAATAGATAACTAATATACACAAAGAAGATATGGATGGTGTGTTTTGCTTGTCATTGCTTCTTTAGAACCTGGCACAATGCTTGGCTTATATTATGAGCTCACTGAATGCTGATTGAACATTTGAATGTTTTCTCCTTCCTCTCACCTCATATGCACATACACTCATGATTCTTCTTGAAATCACTTGGCCCGCCGTACCCTCAGCGGGCTGTGTGCTTCTCTGTCATTGTGCCTTGTCTTGATTTTGAATCCCTGTCTGTGCCTAATGTAATCACTAGCCATTGAGACAAGCCTTATAAACAGAGTAATATCTAATTTCTATTCATACTTCAAACCCTACTCCAGTCTATAAAGCTTCCCATGATTACAATACACTACTGAACATGTCTTATATTTTTCTGTTTTCCTAACTGAGCTTAGCCCAGCAGTTACCATAAAGTTGGCACTCCAATACAACTTTGTTGATTGCACAAAAAAATTAAAAGAAAAACAGAAATATTTATTTTATGAGGATTTTTCCATGAACCGTCAACCCCAAAAGCGCAGGCACTATTTTTGTTTACTGTTAGATATGGCCAGGTACACTTTAATGCAAACCAGACTTCATCTTAGATTTAGAGTCTTTCAGGGGTGGAATGGACTATTTAGGGGGCATGTGTCTAAACTCTAAAGCGTGAATTGCTTCTGCAACATCCCTGATATATTATTAGCTAGCTAGGGTTTTAAATACCTCTAGTGACAGGGATCTCATTACCTCATGAAGCAGTGGAGTGTATTTAATAGCTCTGATTATTAGAAAGTTCTTTCTTATAAGAGCCTCTTAGTAGTAAGTCATTTACCTCTAGTCTCTGGCACTGATCTGTTCTCTGTCACTATACTTTTGTCTTTTCCAGAATGCTGCATAAATGGAATCAAATATAGTATGTAAACCTTTTGAGATTGGCTTCTTTCATTCGGTATAATGCATTTAAGATTCATCCAAGTTGTTGAGTCTATCAATAGTTCTTTTTTATTGCTGTATAGTATTCTACCATTGGGATGTGCTACAATTTGTTTATCCATTCACCCTTCATGAGCTTGTTTCTGGTTTTTGGCAATTATGGTCCATATCTGGGGCCAAGCCCTATAAGGACAGACAGAGAGAAAAGAGCAACGAAAGGTCACCCCACCCACTGGGATCACAGATTCTCTGACTGGGGAGGAAGGTTCTCCTTCCTCAGAGTTTTAGGCTCCTGCGGGTGCCTCTGGGTGCTGCTGTTGTACCTGCTGCTGTGGCTGTGAAACTTTGGGTACTACGGTGTAAGAGAATAGAGAAAAGAAAAAAATCCAGAACATTTCTCTTACTCTCTCTGAGTGTTAAGAGACCCCTTTCCTTCTTCTCGAGTGCTCTGTCTCAGCACCAATGCCGAATTCTGGGTTTTGGGCTGTGGTAATTCCAGGCCAAAGGATACCAGTAGGCAAAAATGCTCAGCTTCCAGCTGGTTTGGTGGTACTTCAAATTCTGACCTTCTTCCCCTATTTGCATGATGCTATTTACTTTCCAGAGTCCTCAAGTAGTTGTTCCATGCATTCTGTCCAGGTTTTATGGCTTCATTCAGTGGGAGAGATAAGGTGGAGTGTGCTTACTTATTCCTTCTTACCTGAGCCCAGATGATTCTTTGAGTTTTTAATATCAAGTATTATATATTTTTAATTTCTAGTTTAGTTCTTTTAAAAACTTGCTTGGTGATTTTTAAAAATAATTTCTTCCTCTTTATATTTGTAATTCCCTCTTTTCTTTCTTTAAATGGATACGAATGCATATTTTATTTCAGTGTCTGATAATTTCAGCATCTGAAGCCTTTGTAAGTCCTTATCTGCTTATTTCTTTGTACCTTTTTAAATGAATCCCTATCATGAGAAGATATTTCTCAGAATATTACCAGTGGGAATTCTTCAAAACCTGGGATGAGGGTGGGTTATCCCAAAAATGAATTTTATTTGCTTCTGCCAAGTGCTTGGGAATGCTATCAGAATGGGACCAATTTAAACTGAATTCTTGGCTTAAGGTTTTGTGGGCCACCCAGGTAGTGTGAATTCAGGCAATGAACTCACATGAAGGCTAGCTTGTGGGTTACAAATTCTGGGGATTTGTTTTTTCTTTCTCTCAGTGTCAAAATGCCAGCAAGACAACCTTCTTTGCAGTTCCCTGGTAGAGAGCACAAGTTTTTCTAATTCACCCATTTTCTGAAAATATAGTTCTTTGGGTTCCTAGCTTTATGGGGCAGGTCTGACGTGAGACCTTGAGTGTCCCTGAACTTGGTCTTTTGAGCCTGGCAAAGACATGAAAACCGGTGGTCAATTTCAACAGATTTAGTAGTTACCCTAAAGTTGAAAGCTAGCTTCAGTGTTCTACGTATATTCACTTAGGTTTTGGCCTCATTTTTTTGCTCAATCATCTTTGGATTTAAGAAAATTTAGAAGTACTTACCAGCATTTTGGTTATTTTCAGTGGGAAGGTCATTTAGGTTATTTGTCCACCAGTTTCCTGGAAATGGATTTTCTCTCTCTGCTAGACCATGTACTGCACTTCAATTAGATCTCAATTAAAATAAGGTATATTGAATAGATATGGTACAATAGGAAGGGTTGGGAGATTAAGGTTGTGGTCTAGTATTTTTGCTACATTGCCAGCTGGGCACGAAGAAACCACGTCCTTCCCCGGGACCTCAGTTTCCTTTTTTATGTGACAGAATTGGCTTAGATCACCGCTGAGACTTTGAAACTCTTTGATTGCTTATTAGGCCATGTTTTGGAGGTGATTATCAAAGTTTCTTCCAATCTAATTTCTGTTATCATGACCATCTTTTAAACAGTCCATGTTTACGGTATTTCAATGTCTCAGCCACTGTAATCAGAGGGATGCTGAACAGTGCCTCCGGGTTGAATTTTTTCCCGGTGGAGTCCCGATTGTTAAGAATAAAATGATTCTATAATAAGTTGATAGCATTATTCAGGCAGGAGAGAGTGCAATCATCTCAAGGGTTTGTTACTAGTGTATCTAAAAGTAACATCCCCGGCACTGCACGTGTAATTCACTGCCCACAGACTCAGGAGGCCAACAGCAGTCATGGTGTATTTGCTGGCTCTGGAATGCGTGTGTTTAGGAGTGTCTTGGCATCTATGGGTAATAGAGGATGGTGCCATTTTGTCCAAAGTGAAAAATTTTTTCTACCTCTCCAGGCAAACAATCCATGTGTTTAAAAAGGAGCAATTTCCTGCTCAGGCAATAAACAACATTCCTGTTGAAAAGATACAGGATATTGTGTGACATTTATTTATTTATTTTTGCTGAGGAAGACTAGCCCTGAGCTAACATCCGATGCCAATCTTACTCTTTTTGCAGAGGAAGACTGGCCGTGGGCTAACATCCATGCCCATCTTCCTCTACTTTATGTGGGACGCCGCCACAGCATGGCTCGACAAGCCATGCGTCAGTGCGTGCCAGGGATCCGAACTGGCGAACCCCTGGCCACCGAAGCAGAGCACGCGAACTTAACCCTTACACCACTGGGCTGATCCCGTGTGTGACTTTCTTTTAATCATAAGCGTTTGGGATCCTCTGAGGTGTGTGCAGACACCTCTGGACCCCAAATCAGAAGATGCTTAGAGATGATCCAGGCAAATTCTATTTTAACTTTTATAGCTGCAGAGACTTTTTTTTCCTACAATAAAATACTTGGCATTCCAGGATGTAAAACATATTAAATTAATATTTTTCATAGCATAAATTTACAAACTCAAATTTTATAATGTTTGCTTAGTATAATATTAATACATGAGATCATTTGAGTAAATAAATTTTATACACAAAAATTTGAATTTAGAACTTCATTTATTCAACAAATATTTACTGATCTTCTGTTTGGTGTGAGACACTGTGCTAAGGTACTGTTTTCCATATGGATTCCAGGGGTAATGGATGTCAATAGCAGTCTTATGTCAGTCACAGCATCTACAAAATTAAAATAAACTTTTGCAGAACCCCCAAAGCACTTACATGGGACATTCCACCAAACACCGTTTGCATTGCACTGGTCTCCTCTAATCCCACTATTTTCCAGTTGAGAAAATGGAAGCCCTGAAAGAGTTAATTTACCCGAAGGAGGAAGGTAAAATAACATTTGTTGTGTGCCTACTCAGTGCTAGTGGTTAGAGGTATTCCAAAGACACAGCCAACACATTTTTGAAATTTACCTTATTTTTGTGATAGTATTGATATTGATATTATTATCCCCATATTATAGAGGAAAAAATTGAAGTCCCATGAGGCTGAAGAGGTAGGCAGCAGCCAAACAACAAAGGCCTTTTGGGACTCATTGATGACTTTGCCTATCAGTTTAAATAGGAGTGATTTGCTCAGATGTGTGTTTTAAATACAATCATGCATCACTTAACAACGGGGATACATTCTGAGAAACGCTTCGTTAGGTGGTTTTGTCGTTATGTGAACATCATAAAGTGTACTTACACAAACCTAGATGGTATAGCCTACTACACGCCTAGGCTGTATGGTACTAATCTTATGGAACCACTGTCTAACATGAGGTCTGTTGTTGACCAGAACGTTGTTATACAGTTCATGATTGTACTGTGTTCTATGGACTTTACATGTATTACCTTATAACTGTTAAACAAATTGAAGGAAGTTCACATGATTACATTATCTCTGTTTTACAAATGAGCATTTTGAGGTACAGAGGAGCAGTGTAACCTGGCCTTGGGAGTATGTGCGGGGAGTAAGTGGCAGAGCTGGGATCTGAGCCCAGATGGTCTGGGTGAAGAACCCTATGCTTTTTGAGCTAAGCAGTGGTCAATGGTCTGCCAAAGACCACCAGGAACACACTTGTGGTTCAATGAGTTGGGTTTAGTGATCACTGCAACAAGGGAGAACACCTATGGAGAACCATGTGACATCTCTATCAGAGAGTGTTAGAAAAGACTTTTAGAATTGGGGCTGTCTTAGCTGATTTGAAGAGGCTTCAGTGGAGCAAAGATTTATTCTGGGTTGTGTGCTGTCTTATAATGGAGTAATTCTATGAGTAGGCTTCCTTTTTTTTTTTTGGTGAGGAAGACTGGCCCTGAGCTAACATCTGTTGCCAGTCTTCCTCTTTTTGCTTCCTCTATTTTGTATGTGGGATAGAGCCACAGCATGGCTTGAGGAGCAGTGCATAGGTCCGCACCTGGCATCTGAACCCGCTAACCCTGGGCTGCTGAAGCGGAGCATGTGAACTCAACCACTACACCACCGGGCCGGCCCCTATGATTAGATTTCTTAATAAATCTAATCTTATAAGAGAGGAATAGAGTGAGGCTAGGGTTGTAATTGGTAAAGAAGCAGCAGTCATCATCAAGGACGGGGAGAACCGGGATATTTGGCCATTTTTGTGGTTTGGACAATGTTCTTATTTTGTCTCTTCAGGCATGATTATGGAGAGGTCTTGTTTTCGTCTTGATCCATCATCCATCAGATGTTGTCTGGTGTTGATATTCCGTGATATTATTACAGTCAATAGAAAACTAGCCAGGCCTAATTTTTAGAGCTAGGCTGGCTCCTAGCAACTCCAATATGAAGCTGATAGTGCCAGGCCAGCTCCTAGCTGTCAGGGGGTGCTTTTCTCTTTCACAATATATAGCCTTTCAGTAAATGTGACCTCTCTGATTGATGTGTGGGGACGGAGCTGGAAGGGAGCAAGAGAGGACGCAAGGAGTCCAGTGAGCAGGTCATTGCTTGAGGCCATGATGCTTGAGGAGAGAGATGTTAATAGCGTGGTGACATGAATGGAGAGGAGTGGGTGGACTTGGGAGCCATTTAGGAGGAGGCATTGGATGTCAGTGGGATCACATATTCCCTAAGAACCCAAGCTGTGATGGATTGGGATTGAGGCACAAAACCATGTGAGAAAAGACAAAACACTCATCAAAAATAAAAATCTTACCAAATACTAACTGAGCTTAGTGTTCCCCAAACACATTCTCAGGCCACCGAATAAGGCTGAGATTTACAGAGACCCTTTTTTCTCCCAAATTACTTGGATTGTTTTTGCAAACTTCTTGAGACCTTGAAAAGTACTTTGTACTAGATGAAAAACCCTTTTTCATTATTGATGCAATCCTCTCAGAGGGCATGTGGAAGTTAGGTTTGTACTGGGGATTTACCTTATATATGATCTGACCGGGAACAGAGAGAAACACTTTTGGTGATGAGTGTAGAGGACCATATAAGTGAGGCCTAGAGAGACTCTTACACTGTGTGGAAGGGGAAATCATCCTAGAAAAACATGCCTATATCACCAGCGAGCCTGTGTGTCTCCTAGGGTCCTTCAAGAATTTTTTTTTTTTTTTGTGAGGAAGATTGGCCCTGAGCTAACATCTGCCAATCATCTTTTTTGCTGAGGAAGACTGGCCCTGGGCTAACATCCGTGCCCATCTTCCTCTACTTTAGATGGGACGCCGCCACAGCATGGCTTGACAAGCGATGTGTTGGTGCACACCCGGGATCTGAACCTGCGAACCCCAGGCCACCACAGCAGAGCGCTCACTCAACCGCTTGCACCACAGGGCTGGCCCCCCTTCAAGATTTTAAATGTCCAGCTTAACT